ACAGTGATAAACTCTAGGGAACTGGGGAGAAGATTATGACCAAGCAGAGGCACATGGAGGACTTTAGTACATAAGCGATGTTTCATTTCTTGATTTGGGTAGTATTTTCATGGCCCTTCACTTTATTAAATTGTACATACATATTTGTTTAAGGTGCTTTTCTAAATATGGATTATATTTCACAATTTTTTTTAAAAATCGTGTAAAACTTTCCCAAAGATCCCTTTGTAGATCATATATCCAGAAACAGAAGTTTCATTACAAGTCTTAGATTACATATTTTATAGCACAAAATAGTTTGAGATTTGTTAACAGTCCAATAATTTTGATATACCTTTCTCAAAAATATAACAATTAAATAACAGTGACATATAGTTGAATAGATGCATTCCAGTCATGTTTGTTTTAAATAGCGTAAGCATATAAGCCAGCACAGATATTCATAGTTCATTAAGCCCTTAAGTTGAATTTATAAGAAATTTTTATTATTTAACAAACATTACCAAATAACTGTATCAAGAATTTACACTTTGTGGTTTCATATTGTGCCAATAAAATAGCATTTGTTTCAGCTTTTAGTAAATACGGTTTTCTTTAGAGGGGGGTGTTGTTTTTTAATAAAAGAACACCAGGTTAGAAAGTAAACAGGTTTAAGAAAACACATCTCTTTTCAACATGGGATTCTGGTTTTAAAGAAAAAGATACCATATATGTTATTAACTTTATTCTTAGAAATATACAGTCATATGTCACTTAACAACAGACATACATTCTAAGAAATGCATCATTGTGCAAACTTCATGGAGTGTCCTTACACACATCTAGATGGTGTAGCCTATTACACACCTAGGCTCTACAGTTTAGCGTATTATTCCTATGCTACAAACCTGTACAGCATGTGACTGTACTGAATAGTGTAGGCAATTACAACACAATGGTAAGTATTTGTACATTTAATTATATCTAAACATAGAAAAGGTACAGTAAAAATATGGTATTATAATCTTATGGGACCACAGTTGTGTATGTGGTCCATCATTCACCAAAAGGTCGTTATGCAGCACATGACTAAAATTAGGGCATTTCTTAGTTTTTCACAATCAAATGAAAGCTGGTTTCTGCTGAGGCCTCTCTCCTAATGACCAGAAATTTTCTTAACAATTTGAAATTTTCCTGGTAAAGAAGAAATATTGTAGTATTAGTAGAAAGCAATGTTTCTTAAAAGCATTCTTTGTTTAAAATTATGCTAACCAGAAATTTAGAAGTTTAGGGGACAGTGTTACTGAAAGAACTCTTTGACTCCCTGACAGCTCTTCTTCAATATCAATAACACAGGAATGACTGTGGTTCATGCATTTTATAGGCTGAATTGCATTTCCCACAAATTCACATGTCAAAGCCCTACCCCTGTATATAACTTTTTGGAGACAGGGCCTTTAAGGAAATAATTAAGGTTAAATGAGGTCAGAAGGGTTGGACCCTAATCCAATAGGACTGGTGTCCTTATGAGAAGAGGAAAAGACCAGGGGTGCACACAGAAAGAGTAAAAGGCCACTGAAGACACAGTGAGAAGGTGACAGTCCGCAAGCCAGGAGAGAGGCCTCAGCAGAAACCAGCCTTCAGAACTTGAGACAATACATTTCTACACTGTAAGTCACCCAGTCTATAGCTACACTGTAATTCTGCCACGGCAGCCTGAGCAGACTAATAGAATGCACTTTTTAAAAACTACAATTTTCCCCCCCTAAAAAACCTACAGTTGTGTAATAAACACTGAAATCTTCATATACTGAGAACCCACCTGATTGTTTTTCACTAAACGTCACCATTGCTGTAGCCATATTTGCACCCTGTAAAGTTCAAGATCCATATTATATACAAATAGTTTCTGCACATAAAAGTTTGGTTCTTTTAAAATTCCTCTACTTTCCTTAGTTATAATCTCTGTATTAGCTGGTTCAGCCTGCCACAACAAAATACCATAGACTAGGTAGCTGAAACAACAGACATACTTCCTCAAAGTTCTGGAGGCTGAAGTCCCAGATCAAGGCAGGAGCCAATTCAGTTTCTGATGAGGACGCTCTTCCTGGCTTGCAGATGACTGCCTTCTTGCTGTGTCCTCACATGGCCTTTCCTGGTGCCTGTGCATGAAGAGACAGCAGGCTCTCTGATGTCTCTTCCCAACAGGACACTATTTCTTTCAGATCAGGGACCCACCCATACGGCCTCATTTAACCTTAATTACTTCCCTGAAGGCCCTCCTCTTCAAATACAGCCTCACTGCGGGTTAGGGCTTCAACATATGAACTAGGAGGGGACACAGACAGTAACAATCTCCAAACGCAACAACCTGCTTTCCTCGGCTGTAATGTAATAAAATGTTAACACTCCCAAACAACAGCAAAACAGAGACACAACAAAAATCTGTTAAGTGTATAAACAATGGCAATACAATGCTTTCTTTTAAAAAATGGTTCATTCAGCCGGGTGTGGTGGCTCACACCTGTAATCCCAGCACTTTGGGAGGCCCAGGCAGGCAGATCACCTGAGGTTGGGAGTTCGAGACCAGCCTGACCCACATGGTGAATCCCCATTTCTACTAAAAATACAAAGAAAAATATTAGCCAGGTGCAGTGGCAGGCACCTGTAATCCCAGCTACTTGAGAGGCTGAGGCAGGAGAATCGCTTGAACCCGGGAGGCAGAGGTTGCAGTGAGCAGAGATGGAGCCATTGCACTCCAGCCTTGGTGACAGAGTGAGACTCCATCTCAAAAAAAAAAAAAAAAAAAAAAAAAAAAAAAAGATTCATTCTAGTAACAAGTAAATGCCATGCAATACCATTCAAGTACTACATGAGACTTAGAGAAAACCCAATTCAAGCTATAGGAATGACTGTGAGGAGCTGGAGGGCCTGAATGGATGCCTGGAAGACCAGCAGGACACAAGGAAAGCCGAGTCCTCAGTCACCCGGAAACTGCCAGGTAATCTGGGAACAGACTGGGTGCCACTGGGTGATCTTCCAGGAAAATAATAATTCAAATACAGAACGCCCAAGTGAGAGATATGAAAACTGCTTCCCTTTTGATTTGGCTAACATATGGCCACACAGTAGTCTCAGCTCTGATCTGTGCTTTCCCACATTCCTCGAAAATTCGACTGCAGACGATTCCACCAGCACATCTAAAAGGTAGGTGTCTTAAAAGGGAGCCACAAAATGAACATTCCCAGTTGGAATCTACTTCCAAGCCAACATTCTAAAGGAAAAGACTTTTTAGGTTTAATCAAAATAATACAAGTAAGAGCTTCTAAAGTAAATGTAAATGTAGAAGTATTATAGATCTACTTTTGGTATTCTTGTGGTTGCTCTAATCTCTCCCCTTTTATTACAACCTCAACTGCCAAAAGAATCTTCCCAGAACTCCATTACTCCACTATTAAAAGTAATCATTCACCTAACTAGCATTTGAGCACCTATCTCCATAATCAAAGCCCACCATGTCCAACCTCATCTTTAATACAAAACACAACACTCACCCCACGTTCTAGGCTCACCCTGCTCCCTGCCTGCTGAGCTCTTCTTCTGCCTCCTCTCCTCTCGCCACTCCAAGCATTTCCATGGTTTGTGTGTCACCTCCTTCAGGAAGCCTTCTCTGATGACATCACACACAGATTTTTCCTTCAGTCAACAACTTCACATTAAGAACCTACTATGTTCTTAATTTAAGAGCCCTTTGAGAGCCCCTTCCTCTCAAATTTTTTCGGTTCACTGTTGTCTGTGACTTATACTTATTATGGTCTTCTTACTGTCCTATTCTACTAATATGCTACCTTATTATTATTATTATTTGAGATGGAGTCTCGCTGTTGCCCAGGCTGGAGTGCAGTGGTGTGATCTCAACTCACTGCAACCTCCGCCTCCTGGGTTCAAGTGATTCTCCTGCCTCAGCCTCTCTAGTAGCTGGGACTACAGGCACATGCCACCACACCCAGCTAATTTTTGTATTTTTAGTAAAGACGGGGTTTCGCCATGTTGGCCAGTCTGGTCTCGAACCCCTGACCTCAGGTGACCCACCTGCCTCAGTCTCCCAAAGTGCTGGGATTACACGCGTGAGCCACCTTTTTATATCCACGGGAAAAAGTTCTTAAATGTTTAATTTCCTAATTGATTCTTGCACGCGATCTTAACTGTAGTAGGTGGTTACCTTTAGGAACCCAAACTTACCCATCTTTTATACCCCCATCCATAGCACACGGCAAAGGGAGAAACACCTGGGTATTAATTGGTGTTAAATATGTTTTTCCTTTGTAAATCTCGTGATTTATGCTTTTGTGTCTTTCTTGGAGGAATACAAAGTAAGAGAAAAGAGCTTAATACTTGAAAAATGTTTCGGCTGCCTGACATTGTCTTTCGCTACAATTGGTTAAACAAACATTTACAGAGTTCCTACTACACACAGAGACAGGCATGAACAGTCTATTATGGTAAGGCCTTGATCACGGTTGTATCTCCAGCACCAATCATTGTCTTTTGCACATAATTAACACCCAATACATATGTGTAGAGTGAAAAAAAAGAAAGCAGTCTCCCCGCCTGCAAGCAGCTGATATCTTAATGGTGTGGGGGTGAAGGAAATATAAAGGATGAACAAATAAATAAGGAATGTCATATCAGTGTAATAATCGCTATGGAGAAAATAAAGCAGGATCAAGAATACCACCAAGAGCCAGGCAGTTCTTGGCAGACCTGGAGACTCCCATCAGCGGGCGAAGCCGCCCAGCGTAGTGGCTAGCTGCTAAGAGGGCAGCCCGTGGGGAGGGTGCACAGCCCCGCCGCTCATTCGCTGTGTGGCTCTGGACGAATGGTTTCACCTCTCTGGCCTCGACTTTCCCATTCCCTAAAACCTACTTCATGAGGGGGAGTCTCAGGAGTTGCTACTAAAGTGTCCGTCAACCTGGCGGGCGCCGGGGAAACGCCGGCAGCGCCGCGGGTCGGGAACTCACCGGCGCGAAGAGCACGGAAAGCCTCGGGCTCCCTCTGCCGAGGTCCGCGCCTCCCTGCCCCGGGTCGAGCAAAGTTTTGACCTTCAATGGAGGTCTAGGGGACCACGGGCCGGCGCCCCTCTCTCTGCGAGGGCTGGCGGATACCGCGCAGGCCGGCGAGG